AATTCGCATGCAATGCTCCTGAATCACGTGATGATTGAATACTCAAGCCCCGGAAAAATTTCCCTAGACCAAAACACGACGAATTATTGATAAAAACAATTTTTTAAACAAAAACAAAAATAAAAATTTTGGTCTTTGTTCGAGAAATGATTGAATCTCTAGGTTTTTTAGTGGAAATATTGATCAGTTATACTTTTGAAACCACTGAAATAATCCACAAACACCAAACAAATGGAATAAAACACTGGAAAAATGTAATTTTTGTGCTCTTGCAACCGGAAAATAATCATGAGTTACACGACACGAGTTGAGGTCGAACACCAACTGAACCCTCTCCGGGCGTCACGACGCCGACGCCACCTTTCCCGAGTACACGAATCCCACCCCTTGATTCATCCAACCCCCCCTGCCCACCCCCGCCCCTCTTGAGCCCGTAGGGTACCTAGAAACTGCAAGCTCGAAACGTACGCGCACCTTCCGTCGTCGGTTTAACGCAAGTACATGGAACTGGTGGATGTATTACCGGCATAAAGCATTATCCTATGGGTGGCTGACCCAACACGACCTGTTCCACTGGTTTAAAATTTATTTTCACCCATTTTCAACACATTTCGAGACACTTTAGCACAATGAAGTACTTTGAAAATTGAATTTTCAACCAATTTATTTATTTTTTCATTCTGCGGTGATTCGAAGGGATGGGGGTGTGCTGGTTGAATAGGTCGGGTCATTTCCCATGAAATTAAATAAAAAATCGTCGTTTTTTCTCCCATAGAACGCAAGTTACAGCCAAAAATGGAAGTGATCTAGAAATCGATTATTGATCTATGAAAATTGATTCGGGATTTTTTAAGGATCTACTGAGGCTAAATGATGAGTTTTTCTTGTCAATTCCACGAGAAATATCTCACATTCTACAGTAGACAGAATATTGAGTAGCTTCGATTCCGTAGATTCTGAATTAAAGCGAGATGATAGAAAAATTGATCAATGATCTATGAAAATTAATCTAGGATTTTTTCACAAATAACTGGAGAAAAATGAATATTTTTTTAAAAATATTATAAACAACGATCTTGGTCCAATATTTCCATAGATAATTGGAAAAAAAAATTGAATTTTTCATCGGAAATTTTCCAGTAATCCGATGAAATGTATTTCATGCCTCGCCATTGAGTACGAGAATTATTTTCCGGGAAGAAAATTGAATTCTCCATTTTTTTCAATAGAAGACCTCATTCGATCGGAAAATATGTTGTACATCCCCGACGCCGAATCCAAGAAAAAAATTGAGATGAGAAAATGCAGGCGGAAAACTCACTCCATCCCGGCATTTTATTATGATTATTTTATGACTTTTGCGTTACACACAGGAATGAATGCACCTGTAGGTATATCTATGGTAGTCACGTATAGTACTTATCGATTTTCGATTGACTTGTACGTGTATAACGGAATGCATCGTCAGGGGCTCGTTTTCATTTCCCCTGATGCCAAAGCCAACCAGTTTCCTCGTGGTGGTGGTGGTGATGGTGGTGGGTAGTGGTGCTCATGTGGCTCATAGTTTTAGGTACGACAGGTTGTTCCACAGATACTGCCGGTGTCACGCGAATAACTACAGGTGCAACCGAGAAATCGATCTGTCTACTTTTGTGAAGAATGACTGATCTCCGGGGAGGTCAGCAGTCTCATCACACTTCAAGTTATTATTTTTCATCCGATTACTTGAAGATTTTTTGGTATTATATTCACATAGCGTTTTGTAGTGGTGGTGGTGAGCTTAATTGATAAATTCGGAGATGTATCGTCTCATCAAGAAAAGTGGAAAATTTGAAAATGATCTAGAAGTTGATTGATCTAGAACAATTGATCTTCTTATTGTCAATCGAGTGAAGAACTTCACCAGTTTTCCAATGAAAAAAAAATTATCAATTTTGCTCCCATAGAACCAGAGTTATAGAGGAAATTCCTAAAAGGATCTAACGATCGATAAGTGATCGATGGAAAATTCATTCAGGATTTTCTCAATATCCACTTGGCCAATTTGCACCAGGTTTTTAGAATTCTATAGTACATTTTCCTACCTGTGGAATGAGGCAAAAACTATTAATTTTGAAGGACTGTGAAAATAATCTAGAAATCAATGAATGATCTATGAAAATTCTTTTAGGATTTTCTCAGGATCCACTGAGCCGATTTACATCGTCTTTTTTTTAATTTAATGGTAAACTTTCCGATCTAACGAATGGGGTCATTTTGACCCCAATCAGCGTTGGCCAATTGGAGACCCTCCATATATCGATTGTGTCTGAGCTTCATTCAATAACGTCTGTGTCTGGTAATCTGATAGACAGAAAGATAAATGGCTACCGACGCAATTCCCCGGGAGACGGGCCAGAGGCAATCACGGCGACCCTTCTTGAATTTCCGTCACCCCCAATATTCCGTCACGCAGGTTATTTCCTCGTTTGGACAAGACTCAAACTTCGATATTTGTTCCGCAACGTGTTAATAACTTTTTTCATGAATCCTTTACCATGAAAAATGGCCATTAGGTGTGGGGGAAAAAGTCGTGGGGAACTTTCGAGAAGGTAGCTGAGGATGAAGAAGAGATTGATGATGTATGCTGGAGGGAAGTGGAGCGAGATATCGAGTGTTCATTGATTCCTGAATATGTTGAACTAGATTTGAGGCGAATTTTGACTTTGTAGTGACTCTGGTGGTTGACTGATTTATCATTCGATTTTGAATGCTGTTGATGATTGCAGCGGATCAGATGACTGACGCCTGATGTGTAACTATATTCATGAATTATTTGTTGTACGAAAACGATCGTGCGCTTGAGCGCGCGTGTTAAAGACAAATCGTGACACGAAAACCGAAAGCCGACCAAAGTCGAACACATGCGGGCGGATCCGAATGTTCGATCAATGAAATTCGAGGAATGAGCGTTACGCTACAGCTTACGGCGTATGTTCTTTTTAAAATAGGATACTTTTCAGAGTTCTGAATAGCCTGTCGCTTAAATAGTTGGAATCAACGTTCACCCGGCTGAAAAATTCGATTTTGGCGAAAGTCGATTTTCCCCCTGGAAAAACGGAAAATCTGACCCTTTGAAAATCTGCAAAAAAAAACTTTTTCAGTTTTGACTTTTCCCACATACTTTTGAGAGTTCTGAATAGCCCGTCACTTAAATAGTTGGAATCAACGCTCACCCGGCTAAAAAATTCGATTTTGGCGAAAGTCGATTTTCCCCCTGGAAAAACGGAAAATCTGATCCTTTGAAAATCTGCAAAAAAAAACTTTTTCAGTTTTGACTTTTCCCACATACTTTTGAGAGTTCTGAATAGCCCGTCACTTAAATAGTTGGAATCAACGCTCACCCGGCTAAAAAATTCGATTTTGGCGAAAGTCGATTTTCCCCCTGGAAAAACGGAAAATCTGATCCTTTGAAAATCTGCAAAAAAAAACTTTTTCAGTTTTGACTTTTCCCACATACTTTTGAGAGTTCTGAATAGCCCGTCACTTAAATAGTTGGAATCAACGCTCACCCGGCTAAAAAATTCGATTTTGGCGAAAGTCGATTTTCCCCCTGGAAAAACGGAAAATCTGATCCTTTGAAAATCTGCAAAAAAAAACTTTTTCAGTTTTGACTTTTCCCACATACTTTTGAGAGTTCTGAATAGCCCGTCACTTAAATAGTTGGAATCAACGCTCACCCGGCTAAAAAATTCGATTTTGGCGAAAGTCGACTTTCCCCCTGAAAAAATCCAAGATCTGACACTTTGGCCCCCGGTGAAAAAAAAATTTTTTCAGTTTTCACTTTTTCCACAAGAACGATCGCGCGCTGAAGCGCGCGTGTTAAAGACAAATCGTGACACGACGTCGAACACGTGCGGGCGGATCCGAATATTCGACCAATGAAATTCGAGGAATGAGCGTTACGCTACAGCTTACGGCGTATCTTCTTTTTAGAACAGGATTGCAATTTCAATGATTGAGGAGTCATTTCAATGATTTGGTTCAATGCTCATGACGCTTACAACAGTTGCATTTGTGGTTACTGTATCATTTTATGAGCATCTCTATTATTTGATCATTTTCGACGGTGTCTGGACGCTCTCACCAAATTGCCAGATCTTTTCTTGAAGTTCGAGGCTATGTTCCTATCACAAATTCATCAGGAATCGCACGTTTTTATGATCCCCCATACAAACAAAGTATTTTACGAGTCTGGGGGGG